ACCGTGTCCGGAACGTCTGCATTATCCTAGTGCTCAAGGAGACCTTCCGTGCTTCCAAACGCGTTCAGCAAAGAGCGACCTTCCTCCGGGACGCGCTCATCCAGCAGAGCTCGCGTCCGCCCGCCCGGTCCTGCCGTGGCTGGGAATGCTCCATAGCTCTAGTCTTGGACCTTCCCTGAGCGCTCAACGCGGGGCTTTCCAGCCAAGACGGCAAAGTCTACCAGAGCCCTCCCTTGTGTTGAACCAGCAGCTCTTCCTCCTTAACTGTCCGCTTGCTGCTCGTTAGAGCCAAGTCATTTGTGGTACCCTCTATCTTTATTTTAGCAGGGCAAGGGGCACGGGGGTGAGAGGAGCAGAGCTGATGTTGTCCTGAAATGAGCTCTGGGTGAGACACTGGCACTTCTCAAGGGAGCGTGAAGACTTCCAGGGAGGGTCTGTCTTTGAGATGAGCCCTGTTTGGAAGCTGGCAGGAGAAAGGGAAGGGGGAGCTGGAAGTGTAGCCCAAAAAGTTAAATTTAAGGAAAGAACACTGTAATTTCTTCATATTAGGCTGAGGGATCCTTGGCCTGATATTGGAGCCTTGATAGCTCTGTGTTGGTATAATAACTTTGCACTATTTGAATGGATTCGGCCAAAGAGTCTTAGAGTCTCATTTTTGCTCTGCTCCTGGAGTGGTTGCTCCAATGAATAAAATGATTCTTCGTTGTCTCGCTTGCTTCCTGAAAATGCCCTATTTCTACTCAGTCTGACTGAGATCGCTTCCAGGCTCTAAATCAACAAGAAAGGGTAGGTTCACTGTTCAATGAGCACCAAATACAGACGTCGTTCTTGTAGATGGGTTTGTGGAGCCTGAAAATGAGCAGGTTCGAGTGGCAGTTATGAATGAAGGCAATTTTCAGTTGGTTCTCTTGCAGATATATGCAGGTTTCAGCCGTAAGGCTGTAGTTACTACATCTAGTACAGGAATCAACGAGGTTTGGGGTGGTAATTGTGCTTTCTGAGCTGATTTTTTGCTTGTTTTTGTTTTTGTAGAAGCCACATGCTGGGAAGCAGATGAAAGCTATTGAACTGTACTGGTTCAGGGTGATTTAAGCACCTTTCAGGTCAATAAAGAACCTGCTTAGTCAATGCAACCCTCTGACTTCGGCGTAGAGCAGCATATTTATATGGCCAGAATTACCCTTGGCTTTAGATGACCATGGTTGAGTAGTTGGGAGCCCTCTTGGTGGTCCTCCTGGCTGAACCCAAGCTGCCCAAACCAGCCAGATGCCCCAATAACACTTGGTTTTACTCTTGTTTTTAAGGATGAACCTACAAACGCAGTTACGTAACCGAGTTCTAACACGGGCGCTCTCATGCAGGCTCCCTGTGTCGCTGTGTTGCGGCGGCGCCCGGGGCCGCCCCGGGTCGGGCAGGCCGGCCCACGCGGTGCCGGTGACGCCGCAGCCCGGGGGGACGGGCGCTGCGCTGCCTCGCTGCTAATCAGCCCCTAATGTTGTTTTTCTAATGTCTGGAAATGTAATTTTCAGTAAAGCCACCAAACCACTGCTCTTTTCAGACAGCCATGCGCTGGGTTCTCTGCTTTCAGCATGAAGAAAGAAGCTGGAAGGCAAAGGAAGGCTTTTTACATCTGTCATATTTGCTGTGTGTGGATTCCACATATCTGCTGCAGAAGGCCCGGGATATGTCTGGCCTTTCCCTTTGAATGGAGGATGTTGGGAGAGAAATTAGGGAATGTCTCTTAGCAGCCAGCCCTGCCCAGGAATAGTAAAGGCCTCTCTGCCATCCTGCTGTGAGTGTAAACAGCGCTCTGTAGAGCTGATGCTCCTCCTTAGCCAAAGGAAAGATTCCTTTACCTCGTTTAAACTTAAGAAAATACATAAATCAGCCCTGTACTTGGGAGCCCAGTGCAGTAATGGACAAGTTGTTATTTGAAGTAGGCTGTTTGTTCTGCCTTGGGTTAACGTGCGGGGGCTTAGGAAGGGAATGATAAACTCCTAGGAAGTATTTCCAGCTAGATCACGAGGTGAACTGGAACCCTCCTGATCCGCAAGAGCTCTGCGTGTTTGAGGCTTGACAAGACAAACTGGCGCACGGTTCAGGTTGTTTGAATTGCACAGGCAATGAAGCACAGTTTGCAAACTGCATCCCACCGGGGAAGCCTGAGCTTAGCAAACATCAGATAGAGGTTTGGCTGTATGTTTGTCCCGTGTGCTTATTTGGGCTTAATTTTTTCCTTCGGGGGAAATTATGAAACTAAATGCAGAGTAGGAAGGGCACTTAGGTGCCTGGCAGCGAGGCAGATACCTTCCCTCTAAGCATCGTAGTCTTCTCTTGCCCTTTTTGGATGTGTTTTTGGGTAGGCTGCGTGGCCTCGGGAAGTCTCCAAGGTTTTGTAAGATCAGACTGAGCCCTCGCCCCTCACGTCCTGGGGAATGGTGAGGAACTGACTCCCCTTTCCCGTCCTGTGCCGGCTCCTGTGGAGCTGTACACAGTTTCACTTCAAAATGGTGTTGCTCTTGCTGTGTGATGTCCTCTCCTGCTCTGCCTTTCTCCTTTCACGCAGTCCGGGGTGCACCGTGGCTTCCCTTCTGAAATGACTGCCACAGATCTCTGCAAAGCAGTGCAGCCTCATCTCATTGCAGGCCTTAGCATCATTCCTATTGATCCTTGGATACCCATCTTGGCTCATTAATGGGCATCGAGTGGGAAAGGTAATACGTGTTTCTATCGCACTTGAATTCGTCTCACACTTGGTTCCTTCAGACCAATTCCAGGATCTTGTTAGGAACAAAAAACACTGCTGAAGAGGTTGGGGGCACCATGGTTTGCGTCCCCCCTTCTCTCCCTGCCAAATGTGCTGAGGAGGTGGAGAGCTGCGAGGTGCTCTGCTCCATGGCTTTAGGTGTTCAGGGTGCTGGGAGCGACCGCAGAAGCTGGAGTGTGAAACGGAAAGGGGCCCCTTGTGCTTCTGTAGGAGTTGTGGGAAAGCACTACGGGGACCCAGGTTCTTCCAGTGGCTAAAGGTGCTTTTTATCCTTTTCAGCAACGGAGGCTCCCGTCCCCTCCGTGCTGTTCTGAGCTTGGTGCTTGGGCCACATCTAGGTTTCAGACCCCGCTGTTTTGGTTTCAGACCCCTTGGATTGAGGCGCTGTTTCCCCAGTCGGTTCTGGTACGCTCTGATTTTCAAAGGCACCCGTTCCTTAGTTCTTACCAGCCCTCATGTCTCTCCTCTCTTTCAGTTTTCTGAAGCTCACACATACACGATGTGAAGGGAGGTTGGGTTCAATAGTATGGGGGAGGTTGAGGTCAGTTCCGAGAGATTTGTAACAAACTTGAGCATAATTTCCAGTTATGGAGTTGGTTCTGCTTTGGTTTGCTCTGGGGCTTTGACCGTCGCCTCTTTTCTTATTCAAAAGTTTTAGTCCTTTAGGGGTTGTGTGTGTGTCCTAGGACATAGCAGCAATCTGTGCACAAACCCTGAGGGATGAGAACTGGGAGGAAGAGAAGATGATGATGATGATGATGAAGACTTGCAACTGGTTGTTTTGCTTCTGTGTTAAAACTGCCTTAGTAGTTAAGGCTGTTTGAGCTTAGTTTTGTCAGTTATGCCTGTGATGTAGTATTTTCTTGGTGGTTTCAGAGTTTCCTCCAAGGACCCCGAATTGCTTCACGAATTTGAATTCTCTGCACGCCTTCTGTCCTTCTTTTGCAAGTAGAAAAAGCAAAGTTTGAAGCAAGTGATGGCCCCGGGTCAGAATGCGTCTTGCCCGAGCGACATGTGGAGCCAAGGGTTTGCTGCTCTGGTCCCCTCTCTGGTTTTATCTTGGTCGTCTGAGAATATCTGTGACGTGAGGAGTTTCCAATTTGCCTTGCAGATGTTCTGAGCCCGTCTCAAGGAAAGGTTTCTTGGGGTTGTTCTAATCTTAAAATAGCTTGGATGCCGTGCGGCCAGCGAGCGCGCCGGGGCCGGCGGAGACCTCGAGGCTCCGCGTTCTGCCCTTTCGAGCCTCTGTTCTTCCCTTCTGGTGACACCGTTTTTGGGGAACTGCTTTAAGATGTCATAGAAAAGAGCAACGTGTAAATATTAATGTTGAGTATTTGTCTTTAAAATCCCTTTGGGATGGTGGACACATCCGCACGGTGTGTGCCGGGGTGTCCGGATGCTGCTGCCTGACCGAGCGGGTCTGCGGGTGCCGTCGGCCTGCGCTGCCCCGAGCCGCGTCCTGGTTCCTCTGCAGCCACATCCAGACCTCAGTGGAGCTCTAGCGTCTTCGTGGAGCAAAGCTCTTCTCTTCTCCACGTGGACTAGCCAGGACTTTGGAGTCCTGCGTCCCCCCAGGAATGGTGCTGCATGGAGACCATCGCCTGTCAGCCCCTAAATGCGTATCCCAGAGAGGACGTGAGGAGAGAGCTGTCCTAGTGGAGAGGATCTTTAATTTCCACGTTGAATGAAGTTCTTCCTTAGCAGTTACTCTGTCATTTTCCTTACTTTGCAAAGCGTTTCAGCTTCCCGGGTAGTAGCTTAACTGCTGTGGTTTAAACTTCCTCCCATAAAACATGCAACTTAAAGCTTGGAAAAAGATGTCCTGGAGAGCCCCGGTTCCATAGCCGTTCAGGCCAGAACACCTCAAAGTCGCCCGTTGACGTTAATGCGAGCAGACTGGTCACAGTTACTGCCATGCAGACCTAAATTGAGCATGTACTGGACAAAGATGCCGCAGTTCAATATTTAATGTTGTGTAAAGCTCGCGCTGCAGCGTGTCGCGGGCGGCGAGCCGAGCGGCCGGAGGATCCCTGTGCCCGGGGCACGTTCTGGGTTCTGGGATAGCAGCAACGCGCCCCAGGCCAGGGCCAAGCCAAGCAGCAGGGAAAGCGCGGGGACAAACACATGTGTCTGCAGGGAAGCTGCAAGGCAAGCCTAACTTCATTAAGAAATTGGTCTTAATGGGAGGACTGCTGTTTTTTTAACCTAGCGTATGTTTTTGTTGTCCTTCCAGGCAGCATTCACTCTTCTCCTGGGTCCTTTCACCTTCTTCAATGTGCAGAAGACAAAGTATCTACAGATTATGACCTCCCTGATGAGATGGATAGGTGAGTCTTGGCAAGCCCCCACCTCTTTGCTGTGGATGGAACTGAGTCATGCTATTGATGAATCTTTCTGGCAAGGTTCTTTTTGTTTGGAAACATGCTTGTCAAAACAACCTCTTCAAGGAGGATTGGCCAGGCCTGATAAATCTTTGATCAGGAAAGATGTATTTGTTTTTTCTGGGATGAAATTTCTCACTGAAACTAACACTATTCTTGGCCAGGCTTGCTCTGGTAGATGCAGCTTTAGCCTCATTTATATGTGAGAGAGGGAGGAGTTTCATGTTGGTCTCCTCTGGGCTAAGTACCTTAACCACCAGTTGCTGTTCTGCAGCAAGTCGCAGCGTATGAACAACAGGTTTTGAACAACCCTGGTTTTGATCTAAGAATAAAATGCGCTTCTCTCGCATGCTTTTCCCCTTGTTTTGTCATCTGTTACATTTTTCCCTGGGTCTTGCCTTAGCACAGGACATGCTGCATTGAAAGCTCGAGGCTGAGAGGTGCACGTGCGTCTCAGAGGCTTGTGCTGAGGTTCACATAGCTGTAACCCAGGCAGGAGAGCTGGTGTTTGGCACTAATGGAGTGGATGCGACAGCACCGGCAGCGTTTCCGCAGAGCAGAAATCCCGTTTGATGGCCCCAGACCATCCCAGCATAGGTTAGTGCTGCTCGTGCTGATCACTGATCTGCAAAAGGAGGAAGAGATGGTTCTTGGGCTGTTTCCCACCAGCACACGCGTGCTTGGTTGGCCTGATCTCAGTTGGGAATATGGAACTTTGTGCAGGTTTGAAGGCCCTGATCCTCTTTGGAAACAGCTGGCGGTCACTGCAGGGGAAGAGAGATTCTCTGTTCCCAAGAATATCTGCGGTGGGGTTAAGCAGTTGTCACCTAAGAAAATGAGGTTGGGTTTTAAGCCCTGGAGCCTCAGATGCTGAGCAGCTTGAGTTAACGAATACTGACCTTGGATGGTGTGAAAATCTTGAATGTCGGCTTCTCCCGTTTGTTGTTTGAGCACATGAAAGGTTTGAAAGCCCCCATGTTCTTTGGAGAAAGAGGTTATCTCATTTAGGGATATTAAAGTGAGTAAAAAGTAATCTCTTCTCAGCTCCTTGGCCTGTTTCCAAACACCTGGCCTCTCCTTTCCTGGAAGAGACATCAGTCAGATCTCATCCCGTCTCTGTGACAACCTGGTGCCTGCCAGCTCTGCCGCTGGTCTCCTTTTAGCCCTCTCCCAACAGCCTGAAGTTTGCTAAACCTTGCCATAAAGGCAAACTGCCTCTTCTTTGTCGCTTGATGGAGAGGGACAAAAGCAGCATTTGGAGAAGCGCAGGGAAAATTCATGCGTTAGCCTGATTGATTCCTGCATCAGCCACTGGGGAACGGCTGCCCCAGATAATGATATTTAATGACTCTGACAGTACCTCGGTGGCAACTTGGAGCGATGGATTCCGTATGTGTACAGTGAGGGATGGGTTTATTAGGAAGGACTATTTATCAGAAGGCACGTGGTGCAGGGGACGGCGTGACGGTCTCCGCTGCAGATTCCGGGCTGCCTTCCTGCGTGTTCCCACATCGCCCGTCACCTCCCTTTGCAAAAACAGGGCTCCAGGTTGGACACGGGTGGCCCTTGTGCTGGTGAGGGAGCTTGGACAAGATTCCCATGAAAGCCTCTAGCCTGTGTGTTTAGTCCCTTGGACTCCTTGGACAGGGAATGGCGGGATGTGGGCTCTCCTCCTGCTGCAGTGTGTCCCTTTTCCCTCGGTTTGGGCTCAGCCCGGCGCTGCTGGAGGTGGTTCTGTCTCTGCAAGGCTCCGAGCAGCAGGGCTGACTGCTGGAGCTGCTTCCTTTGTGAACAACGTCTTCTTCCCAAGCAGGTAGTGGGCTGTTCGGTTTACCTGTGTGTGCCAGCGCGGATGGGCAGCAGACCCACGCCGTGCATCATTACCTGAAACACCAAACCCCCTGTTTGGGCTGTGAGGCCGTTGCGGGCTGTCCCCCGTGCAGGACCACCTCCTCGCACAGCCTGTCCCCAGGCTGGTGCAGGCCCCTGCATTTCGCAGCAGCGGTGCTGATGTGGGGCTGCAGTGCCCCGGGTGCGCCGGGGAGGAGGATGGCAGGGGCTGGGAGGAAGGCTCTTGGCAGCACAGCGAGTCGCTGCGTGTGAAGGTCATTGCTGCTCGTGTTTGCAGCCGTGTCAGCCCTGCCTGCGGAAGCTGCTTTTCTTTCTCATCATCTAAGCGATAATCAAGTGTCAGCGGCCTCTTTGCGGAGCCTTGTGCTCGTCACGAGCAGCGCGTCAGTAACGAAGCCTGCAGCGCTCCCGCTCCGCACCGCGCGGGGAAGAGAAACCTCACTCAGTCCCTGGGTGAGAAATACCCCGTCTTCAATATGAGGAGCTGAATTGGAAAGAAGAATAGAGTCAGGTCGAAGATTGTGGAGATGCAGCTGGATGCAGGGCTGATCCCGCTCGCCTTTTTCATCGTGGGGTGGAGGGCTGGCCTGGAGAGGTGCCTCTCAAGTCTTGGGAAGGAGAGCGCTGCGGAGGGGCTCGGGAGCGCTGCCCGAGAGCCCAGACACATGGAGCTTTGCTGCTTGGGCCTGCTGCAGCCAGAGAGCCCGCCTGGAAGCAAGGCTGGCACGGCGCGGCGTTCCTGCTGCCGGGACTGCTCGGAGCGCGGATCTGCAGCTCCGGGGGAGAGGGGCTGGGAGCAGAGCCCGTGGATCCAGCGGCAGCTTTCCCAAGAGGAACAGCTCCCGGCTGGTGTGCAGCGGTGGGTGCGTGCCGGGGCTGACCTTAGTGCCGTGCTTGGTGTGTGAACCAAAGGGCTTCTCTGCGCCCAGAGCCGGCAGTGTGCGGGCTCTGCCGGCACCGGCCCCCGGCCCGGATCCAGCCGCAGACGCTCCTCTCCCTGCTGCGTCTGCTCCTGCTGGTGCCCGAGCTGCCTCCGAAACTTGGGATGCAGCTGGAGACACCCACGGGGCGAGGGGAGGAGCGGAGAAGGGGCTTCAGCCAGCAAAAAACAGGTAATGTTCAAGGTGACACCTTGATTTGAGTTAGGGATCAAACGAGTGCTTGGGCAACACTGCTAAGAGTACACCCAGGATCCAACCCAGCAACGTGGGTGATCTGGGATAGGAAGGATTCCTTCCCCAATGGTTATTTCTTTCCTTTCAGAGAAAACTTAGACTAAGCCATCCCAAGGTTAGACTGAGCTGTTGGGGTTTAAAACTGCTGCTCAGGAGGCTCCAGGTTCCCTTTTTCCCCGCAGGGTTTATGTCCTTGGTAATGACAGACTGCTCGCTTTAGACACTTGGTGTCTGGCCGTTTTCCTCCTCCTCTCTCCAATCCTGATCACATAGGTGGTGCTGGGGGCGAGCTGCAGCAGGATGGGCCGGGAAGCTGAGGACAAGGAGAGGGCTTGGAGCTGAGCTCAGCCGTGGGCAGTGAGTGAGGAAGCCGAGGGGCCGGCGCTGCGGCAGGAGCAGCAGCTCCGCGCGCCCTGCTGCGGTGAACATTGCTGCTCTCATTGAGCACTCCCTGGCAAAGCTTCCCAGGCAGTTCCCACCTGGGATGTTTGCTGCATGTGCTGCTCTTGATGTTATATCGTAGTTATTAAAGTATTGTATTTTAATAAAGAGACATTTTATAGAGGAATAAACTTTGGGGCTGGGCTGCTGCCCGCTCCGTTCCTTCTCCCTGTAGCACAGTTAGACCGTGCTGCATCCGCTCCCCGAGCTGCAGCCCTTCCGAATGGTGGGCATAAAACTGGCAGTCGTTAATGCAGTGTGTGGCCCAGCTCCGTCCTGGTGCCCAGCGTGTTGCAGTCCAGCCGTGTGTCCGGCTGCGCAGGGGACGGTGCTGGGGACAGGCTGCAGGGAGCCGCTCCGAGCGGCGCCGCCGTCCTACCGTCCCCAGCGGGTCAACTGGCCCTGCTCCAGGGGACCCGGCGTGGGGACCCGACGTGGGGACCCGGCGTGGCTCTGCCCTTCTCCCTTAACTGCAGACCGTAAACACTAAAGCGGAGGCTGATGGAGGGGGGCGTGTTGGTTCCCCGGAGTCCTGTATTTCCAGTATCCTGCGGAGATTAGTTCGCAGTATCCGCAGTCCTCAAGGACTCCTGGGACTCCTCTTTTCCAGATTAAAAATGGAGCAGTTTGTGGAAGGACCCATTAGGCCTCTGCCCTCGCCTCTCACAGAGCAGCCCATAAGGGAATGACAAGGAAGATGGAACTGAACTGTAAATCAGGACATTGTTGCACGTTGAATTGTTTTAAGGATACCGACAACCTTCTTCCGCAAAGTTACTTTATGTGTCTATATCCCTTTTGAGCAGAGAAAGCTGCTGCCAGAGCCTGGGGTAAATAATTCACTAAGAGAAGTGCATATATTTATGAAGAGTTAGTTAAAAGGCTGTGCGTCTGTCATGGCTGCTTTTGGAGCTGGCAGCTGAGGAGCTGCTCTCGGTGGTGCTCGTGGGCGAGGGAGATGCCTCGTTGGCTGGATGCAGGTGGGGAGCGACACGCGGTGCTGGACGGGGCTGCCCGGGTCCTGCCGGAGCAGTCGGCGTTCCTGAAAAGAGCCCTGTACCCGTGCGGGCTCCGCAGAGCTGCCCAGCCCTGGGCCGGGCGCAGTCACACCGGGGTGTGCGATATCCCCTTCTCACAGGAGAGTCACTAAAGCACGAAGAGGGAAGCAACTATCAAAGCTAATAGACCCAGTCAATAGCAGAGCTCAGAACTCTGAGCTGAGCCCCAGCTGTAAAGGCTTTATGGTGCTTAAGCCAACGGTGACTGAAGGAGAGAGGACAATAAACTACATGGTGAATTTCCAGCAGAGCCAGACAAACCTCCCTGGCTGCTCTTGTCTTCCCGTATGGTGAGATAAAGCATGGTGATAAACACCAGGATACAGAGCTCTCTTTCTCCCTATGAACTGTTATTGGTATGGAGATGTCCACAGAGACCAGCAGACGTGGGCTGAGAGCAGAGCAGCTCCAAGAGTCACAC